GTGTGTACGGCCAGCTGCCTGTGCAAAGGTGGTATGGGAATGGATCATTGAGTGGAGGCAGACACACACACACACACGGACACTTTTTTTTAACTGAGACATGTTTTCACTGTCATAAAAAAAATCTTGAGCTGGCATCCCTGTGTGACTGCAGCAATGTTTTTATACCATGTTTCCCCCACACAGGGGTCCCCTATTTATCCCACACCCTGATGACATCAACCCATTGTACTCTCACCATGCTTCCCCCAGTCCAAACTCAGCTTTACCCTTGTTGGCCTTGCTCCCCCTACCCATCCCAGCATGGTCTCCCATGTCTCTACCCTACTCACAGTCCTTCATCTCTGTCCTGGCCACAAGGAACCATGGAGGCTCCAATGAACCAGAAAGTCCCAACTGACACTTCACTGCAGCATGCCAAGCTGCACTTCTGCATGGACACCAGGTGACACTGCTTCTGTCTCTCTGTCTAGCAGTAATGTGTGAATGCAACCTCATTCAGGCAGCAAATCATGAAGCAAGTTCAGGGCTTCTTACTTTGACAAAGGCTCAATTATTTTTATGGACTTTATGGAAATTTTAGGCTGTTTTTTTACAGGCTGTCCATAAACGTATGGGCAGTTGGCAATCCGGGTTTACACTACTGCACATCATACGTAAATTGTTCTACTGTATTCTTGATGACCTGTTCTGTAGAGCTGGACTAGCTAAGTATAGAGAGACATCTTTACTCCCAGGTCTAGTCCAGGGCAAAGTTAGACTTTTTTTTAAAAATAGTAATAATAATAGTAGTAGTAGTAGAAAACATATTACCAGACACTAACTACATTATTGTAGATGAATTTAAGAGTCCTTATTTACAACTTAAGGATTAAAAAATACCAGAAATCTGTAGCTATTCCAAAAACAAGGCCTACAAATTAAGGAAATTCAGAACTAAGATTAACCATAAAAGAAATCCAAACACAATGAGGTAGGAAAATAGCTGCTGACAGCTGCCAAGCTGCCTTTACTCTCACCTATAATAACACCATGAGGAAGGAAAAATAAATATCTATACAAAACAGCTTCATACCATCAGGAACCACAAGAATGAAAATGCATTCATTTTAACTGTACAAGTGGTGGAAGGGCTTTGCAATAGATCACTTAAATCTTATTTGTAGTACTATCTGAATGCAATTTTTTTTTGTCTGAGAACAGGTGTTTGTGTGGGGCAGGGTATGGGGGGGTGCAGGCATACATACACATCCCTAGGAGTTCCCCACATGTGCATATACTCACAAAGAAATGTTTCTTCTGGGTTAAGGAAAGGTGAAAATGCAAATCTTACTTATGAGATGGGCAGTGCTATATAAGTAATAGCTGAAGTGCACTCAGCAGCACTGTTTAACTATGAGAACCATAAAACAGCTAAGCTGTGAGCCTGCTATTCAGTGATATTATATGGAATTCTTATAACTCCTTGCTATGTATAATTAGATACAAAAATGAGTAAAGGTTTTACTGCGTTGTTGGTTGTAGCCGTATTGGTCTAAGGGCATAGGTAGACAAGGTTTTTTGGGTAGATGTCTTATCTTTTATTGGACCAGCTAAAGAGTTGGAAAAAAGTTCTTTGCAAGCTTTCAGACACAAACACCCTTCTCCAGGCATCAGGAGACTGCTGTTGTTCTGGGTTCTCCAGGGTGGAAAAGAAGGTAAAGTAAACAAGAAATCTGTGAAAATGCAAGTGAGTGGAAGTTTGGAAGACAATGTGCAGAGATAGATGGGGAGGGTGGAGAAGGGAGGAAAATGTGTGAAGGAATGCATGTGGTCAGGTGGAGGCAGGTAACCTGGTATATCAGATGTCAGGCAGGTTGTAATGCGTCATAAATCCAATGTCTATATTAAGTCCATGAATTTTTGTATCCGGTAGATTGATGAAGTAAAGTTTGTAGGCTCATCTACGAAAGGTGTGTTGTAAGGTCCTTTTGAGGATTAGAACTGAGAGATCGGAGGGGGAGAGATCGGAGAGGGAGTGATTGCCTTTTGAGAAGTGTGTGCCTACAGGTAATTAGTAATATCTAGCCAGTCAGTCCAGCCAAAATTCATGCTCAGTGGATGTGCACAGACGTGTGTGGGCAGAGCTGAATTCTAAATTGTGCGTAAGTGCCCCACACTATAGCAGTGAAGCTGCATACATGCCAGTTAGGATTAGCCTACAGTATTCAGGCAGTTTTACAATTACAATTACTTTGCACATGCTTAAAATTACAGTACCATGCAAGAAAGGCTCCAGGTGGTAGTGACATTTCCCAGTTTATATATAGGTAAATATCACTAAAACAAATAATATCTTTAAAGCAGGATAAACTTACATTTTATTAAAAAACACAAGTTATTTGTAGGCAGAAAAAAAATTGCAAAGGCACAAAGTAACTAAGTTCAGAGATCGACTCATCTTAGGGTGAAGTTGCATGTTACACTTACACCATACAAAATCTGTGGTATGTCAAGTGTGTTAATCATGTTGTGAGCAGTCACATGTTAAGAATTAATACTGTTTCTTGCCTGCATATTTCTGACTTCCCACTAAAGGGCTGGTGAGCAGGGGTATGCCTAAGAGCCAGGCCACCTGGGCTTTATCCCTGCTGTGGGTGGGGATGAGGGGCTGAGAGTGGTGCATCCTGGGATACTGGAGGACTACAAATTGCTTGTTTTTATCTCCTTGGAGCAGACTGAAGTTACCCTAACATGAGTTAAGTATCATGGCCCTGGGTTAACCCTTGCCTGAAATGGCATAACTTTGAGACTCAAAGGACACTTACCACGAGTTAATAAGCTTGAATGTGCAGAAGCTCGTGTTTTAAGTGTCCTTAGTATGGTACAAGCATAACGTGTAACTTCACCTTTATTCAGGTAGCCTTGCTAGCACTGGGACCCATTAGCGCATGGAGTAGTTGCCTAAGGGAAGTAACAGGAACTCTGTTACTTGTCATGTTATGTTGGTCTGAGTAATTCATTAACAATGTGCTCTAGTTGGGGCCACATCTCTTCAGGGCTTTTGTGATTATGTGAGTTTTGCTTTAGACTTGAAGTTCACATGTATCTGTTACTCTCATTTGGTCTTTTCAGAACATGAAAGAACAGTAAACTCATTGTAAGTCAGCCCTCCACGTTTGAAATCGGTGTCTGCTTAGAGCAGTGGTTCTCAACCTTTTTAACCTCAAGACACCCCAGGATAGACTCAAGGCACCCCTCGGAAAATGCTATCTCTTAGTTTTCACTTGTCCTTTGCCTACAGAAAAGTAATGCAGTGATTCTTCTGTTGTAAAGAACTGAGAAAGATTGCAGCAGGGCAGGATGGTTTTAAAACTATGGATTCCCATTTGAAATCTCTAGATTTATCATGTGTATCCTGGGTAACGTAAACCAGAAGAAGCAGCATATTAGTTCTACCCAGCTCCGCAGCATCTGTATAGATGCGGTGCTTCAGCAGTTTTTTGGCAGTTTTATATAAAGCTGATTCAATCAGGTATTAGATAAAAACACCATAAAAGCCCTGCTGAAGCACCCCATCTGTACAGACATTGGGCGAGCCGGGTCCAACCAACACAGTACTTCTTCTGGGCATGCGCTGAGCTAAGTGGGGAGGGGGGCACATGGAGTTTAAAGTGAAGTGCCATTATTTGGAGGTGTTTTATGTCTGTAAGCAGACCTTGTTCATACATGTAACAGTGCTAACTTTGAGTGGCACCCTGTGGCACCCTTGAAATGATTTCAGGGCACTTTAGGGTGCCTCAGCACTCTGGGTGATAATAACTGACTTTGAGTGAGCAGTGATTACATTTTGTGCTCTCTCTAATCTGGCCACATTAAAACCTCATGCTCGCTAGAGGGATGGCATGGTGGAGTGAAGAACACTGCCGCACAACCATTCCCCCCGTCTTCTAGGATTTAACGTGCAGTGTACTTTTTCACACTCCCCTCCAACATGCAAGAAGCAGAAGTGCAGCAGATGTATACTAGGAAATTCAATTATTCAGCAATGTTCCTTTATTTTGTGGCATGCCATCCCTTAATCTAAAGACAAAAAAGTAGTTGCACAGCTGGACAAAATACATGAAGAAACATGCATGTAAAAATAGCTTGTTTTGTTTTTCTAGATTAGCAGTAAGAGCATGAGTTTTATTGAACTAAATAAGCAAGAGAATAACGGGACTTCTGAATTGGAATTTTTTTCCATGGTACATTCACAGATGTGGAATTACAGGATTCAGAACTGATGAAACATGAAACTCTTAACAAAAACTCTTATTTGAACCAAGTGTACCCAGGACTATACAGGTCCCTGGCTATAATCTCACCCTTGCCTGAGAAGGAACCAGCTGCTTAATGGGGATTTTTCCACTCTTCTTTCTATGATTCTTTGTTGCAAATGATAAGGAACACTCTTTGTTGAAAACTAAAAATGTACTTAATGAGTTATAATATGAAATATTCCAGATTCTATAATCCTGTTGTGAAACCTGTTATGAATTGTCAAAGGTTTGAATGAATGTCTTGTTAAAGTCATGTGGATGGCTACTTTGTAGTGATTAATAGAAATGGAAGCTCATTTTTCTTCAAAAGGATCATTCAGTTTCCTCACCAAAAAAGTATAGAATCTTTTTGGTTTTATCCATTCATGAAAATAGTCAATGATCTAAATTGCTTTATTAATAAATAAAATAATACATTTATTAATAAATAATCTTTGTATGTGTTATCATTTTTGAGGTAGCAAAATAACCAGTAAGATCGACAGCATTAAACCCACCAAAAAACATCAGTAAAGATTGAAGAGTACACTGTAGTTTCTATTCACAACTCTGTAAATTCCATAAAAAGTCTGAGATGACAAGAACTTTGATAGCCACAAGCCACAAATTCCCATGGTATCAATGCTATTTTTAATGTATAAGCAGAGCATACTCTAAGCATAGAATATAATTTTTTCTTGTCTGTGTTTTTATTAACAGGTGTGTGTGCAACATAGACTGCAGTGGATACAGTTTTAATCCTGTGTGTGCTTCTGATGGAAGTTCCTATAACAATCCATGCTTTGTTCGAGAAGCATCATGCCTGAGACAGGAGCAGATTGACATAAGACATCTTGGTCACTGCTCAGGTAGATTTAATTTTGTTCTTCAGTAGAATTGTGTCTTCTGACACACAAAGCTTCAAGAGACCCCTTTTTTTGTATTAGAATTGGCTGATGTAGTTGTCAGAAAAATACATTTGCCTTTGTTTAATTTATGTTCCCCCCCACCCAATAATTAGATTCAGTATATGGAAAATGTTTAACTTATTTATAGAATCTAATTATTGGAGGATTGTTTTAAATTTATCCCCACCACCACTGCAGCAGGGAAAGTAGTGGTAGGGGGGCAAGTGGTGGGGGAGATGTTGGGGGAGCAGGTGTTGAGGGAGGCACTAAGGGGGCAGAAACTGCCAGTGTTGGGGCAAGGATAAGCAGGGGGAAGAGGGGAGTGAGGGGGCAGAGGCTGTGGCTGTGGTGGCAGCAGGGACCAGAGGCCCAAGACTATGTGGGGGGAGAAGAAGGGGATGCAGAAGCAGTTGGGAGGGCAGGCAGCAGCTGCCTGTCCCCTGCCACCTTGTACTCAATTCCAAGATGAGAGCCTTTTTCCTTATGTTAAATGGGGGGGAAAATCATCTTGAAATCAAGGAAATATGGTAGTTCCTCAAAAATTATTTCCTACTATTTTATCAAATGGTCTGGAAAGAAATACTTGTAAACAGATATATTTTTATGAATCTATCCTCTAGACACAGATGACACTAACTCAGTGGGAAAGAAAGATGATGGAATGCAATATCGACCAGAGGTGAAAGGTATTGTCTTGATAATTGTGCTGATACGTTACATTTTCACATATATGAAAATAAATCACAAAGCTTCTTTCTCATCTGCTTTGAAGCATTCATTCTCTCAGAGAGGCATTTGACCACTTTATTTCTTACGGCACTATGATGCCATGGCTGGTAAGCAGGAAGTATGAATACATTGTGAACCTGCCTGACATGCTCCCCTAAGAGACTGGACAACTCCTTTCCATATTTAACATGTCACAGGTTTAACACCCTCTGAGTTGCTATGGAGATGCTTTAACTGTCTCCAAGACAATAGAACTATATGTGTTGTAGAGCCCCCTCGCTTCCCTTGATCCCTTCTCAAAAACTGATTCCATGCCTATTGCTACAACTCTTGAACAGCAGTAGCTGAAGTATTTTAAAAGGTTTTCAACCAATGTGAATGGCCCAGGTCCTTCAATTCTGTCCTTTGTATATTTTATTGGTTAGTAATTTACATACGTTAAATTTAACAGCTTTTTAGATGCCATTGTAAACAATGGGAACACTGTGAGCCTCTGGTAAGGAGAAAGGCACATAGGAGCATGAGTTTTAGCTTCTTGCTTGTGAGGTGAAAATGAAGCACTGTGCATGTGTGTTCACGTGGAGAATTGAGCAAAAGAATTACTGGGAAATGAAAGACCAGCTGGATTTTCTCAACTTCTTTGAAAGAAAAGTCTGTCTCTATGAATATGCCAGCAACTTCTAGAAGCTGGTTATCTCCCCAGGGCTGTCACTAATTTGCAGAGTTTTGGAGAGACCCCCCGCCTATGGTGCACTAGGCTGAGGTTGGCATTGGTATGTGTTTGCTCCAGGGTAGAACCATGCCAAGAGTCTTGACTTCAGTGGTTTTCTACTAGAATTCAGCTCACCTCTGCTGAGAACCACTGTGTACCTTCCATCCATCCCTCTTACTATTAGCTGCTTCCCACTGGTGCCATGTCCTGTTTTTCCAACAACACAGCGGGCACATCTACACAAGATGCTAACTGCACAGTAGCTGAATAATACTGTGCATTAGTGTGTCACATTACCAACAGTGCTAATACACTACTGTGCAGAATATTATTAGGCTACTGTGCAGTAGCATCACTTAAAAGGTGTTCGCCAGCACTACTATGCAATAAATCCAGTTACTACGCAATTCTTTAGTACTTGATTATAGAAATAATCAAGTAAATAAATGTGCATTAACCACTGTGCAATAACATCTCATACAGACATGCACAGCAAGTGATTAGGGGATGGGTAGCCTGTATTTAACAATGAGAGTTAGCTTATTCTAGGTCTAGAGTTCAGAGGCTGCGTCTACATGAGCAACAGACTGCACAGTTGTTGCTGTGCAGTCATTTAGTACTTGCTTATACACAGCATAAGCAAGTACTAAATGTCTGTGCAGTAACTGGTGTTACTGTGCAGTACTGTCACTGCACAGTAGCTCATTACTACTGTACAGTAGCATCACATCATCATTAGTGTCTGGGAATGTACTGCGTGGTAGCAATGAGCTACTGTACAGTGGCTCATCACTACTGCGCAGTAGCATCTCGTGTTGACACGGTCAAAGAGACCTTCTTCTGAAAAGTGAGTTCGCTACTCAGGAGTTCTGGTTGATCTGTGATCTGCAAGGGACAGAAAGGTAGAGGAGAAATTACTCTGAGAAAGTTAGGAAGTGGGGAAGGGTTCTTTGCAGGGAAATGTTGAATGGATGTGGGGATAGGCAAGATACTCAGAATGAGCCTTCTCTTCCTCACGACATTGGTACACTTTACTGTGGGTGAATATTCTAGTCCTCAGGCTACTAAGAGTTAACTTTGGGATTAAAAGAGCTATTGCCCTGATCTGGTGCTAGACATGAAGGCATGTGATACATTTCAAGTTATAAAAGTTATAAAACCATTCTCCTGTGTTGCTTTAAGAAGCTGATCTTTGCTTCACACTGGCTCTCAGAGGTCCACCGCCTCAGATATCTCTGTTCTGAGATCCTGAACTTTTTTCCACCCCAAGCTTTTTTCTATTCCGATGTCTTGTAAAGTGCCCCCAAATATACGCTCCCCCTTTCTTGCCTCTTTCTTTTCTGTTGCTGAGTTATCCTTCTGTTTTCATTCCCTGGTTTTAACTGTTCTCTTCAATCCCTTTTCTTTCTTCAATTTCTCCATCAAGGCCCTGTTTCTAAATCAGTCCTATTTCTCTTGTTCTTATCCATCCATCTCTCTCTTTATCATCTGACTGGCTTCCCATCTGGCCCTCTTTTTTTAAAAAAAAAAAGAATCATATCAGTTAATGTTCTGGTTTTCTCCATATTGACTTGTCCCCAGCAGCATAATGACACGGTTGGGCACTCAGAGCAGCTGCCACACAGGAGCAGCAGTGACTTCTGGTTGCTACCACTGTCTCTGGCACAACTGCATGGTGGTGGCAGCAGCTGTTTTTTTCCACCTTCCTCCCCCACAAGTCAGCACTCAGGGCAGCTGCCCCAGTCATTCTGTCCTAGTTGTACCACTGCTTGTCCCCCACGCCCTCGAATAATATATTCCGGTCATGGCTTTGTCACACATTATATATTCTTTTGCAGTATTACCTGCTGATATACTGTCTTGATACATCCAGGTGATTAACTGAGGGTTGATATACTTTAAGACCTGCTTGCTCAGTTCATTTTCATTATGGCCACTTTTAATAGCCCTGGCACAATTTTCATTGTTAAGTATTGGAATCTACAAAACTGTAAAGGGGAAGTTTTCACACGGATCTTCTACCAATAAGCTGGGGGACGGGGGGCAGGGTTCCCTTCACAAATCATTATCTACAGGTAATTAGAATGGTTGGGCATCAATATTCATTTCATTATGGCAACATCAAAGGTATCGATTTGGACTGATGCGTTATTGTATAACGGATATATAAGTAGTCACATTTGATTCCTACTGAAGAAGCCATATATCCTTTTATTTATTTTTGAACCATGACCGATAAGCTTCTGATTCCTTCACCACTGTTGTAAAAGGGACTTTCTGTCTAGTGCAAATTAGAAAAATAAATCATCTTTAAAAAAAAAAAGTTCCTTTATCTAATCATTATCTCTTTTTTTTTTGCTATTATTTCAGATATCTGCATCTCATCTCCATAAGAACCTTTCCCCACATAGTCTAGTTTTTCCTTATCTGCATCTGCCCCTAAATTACAATCCTAGATTTGTCACATTGTAATCTGTTGCCATAGAAATAGGAACGTAGGACTCAAACAGGCCTCCCAGGCCATTGGGCATGTCCCTACGAGCACCTACATGCAGTTTGCAGCACCTCAAAGCAGTTTGGAGTGCCACAAGCTGCACGTGATTCATGTGCCAGCATTTGCGGCACTACAAATTTGCAGCACAGCAGCTTTTTTTGATACCAGGAAATCCTGGTGTAAAAAAAAAACAGTGCTGAAAAATGTGACGCAGCGCACACCACAGCAGTGTGTGCTAAAGGAAACCAGAGCCAGTTTGGCACTGCTTCTGCCCCAGGAGACACCCAGGACCCCAGGTAAGGCTTCTGGGGCTAGCATAGGTGCTGGCCCCAGCCTCCCCTACCCCACCCAGATCTATTTGCCACACTCTGGACCATGCATGCAGGGGGCATGCCCAGGGACAAATAGCAGCAGTATAAATATGCATGTAGAAGGGGACACCTGTGCTGGCCCCAGCAGCCTTACCTGGGGTCTTGAGGGCCTCCTGGGACAGCAGTGGTGCTAAACCAGCTGGCCAGGCTCTGGTTTCCTGTAGTGCACACTGCTGCTGCGTGCACTGCATCACTTTTTTCAGTGGTGGTTTATTTTGACACCAGGACCTCCTGGTATCAAAAAAGCTGCTGCACTACAAATTAGCAGTGCAGCAAACGCTTACACATATACCACATGTGGTTTGTGGCCCCCCAGACTGTTTTGAGGTGCTGCAAACTGCATTTGCACACTCATGGGGATGTACCCAATAGCCTGGGAGGCCTCTTCAAGTCCTATGTTCCTATTTCTGTGGCAACAAATAACACACATTTGTGCCACTACTATTTGTCCTGTGAGAAAAGCGCACCCCTGCATGTGCGCGCTTGTGGGGACATGCCCATCGAGTTGAGTCTGACCATGCTGCCACAAATTCAGCTTTATGTAGTATGGAAAACAAGCAAGAGGAACTTACCCTCCTGCCAGCTGATACCAACCCAGACATAGTGTGGATCACTGAAACGTGGTGGGACCCAACTCTTGACTGGGCGGTGAATATCAAGGGCTGTAGGCTGTACAGGAGGGATAGGACAGGGAGGAAAGGTGGGGTCATGGTGCTCTACATTAAGGAGGAATGCACATCCTCGTCAATTAGCAAACAATGAGAGGAGGGGCACTCTGAAGTGCTCTGGGTTAGAATACAAGGTAGTCAAGGGGATAGAGACTTAACGGTGGGGGTCTACTACAGACCTCCCAACCAAGGAGAAGAGCTAGACCAGGAATTCTTAAGTCAGCTCACAGAGGTAGTTAGGTCAAAGGACGTGGTCATCATGGGTGACCTGAACTTTCCAGACATCTGCTGGGAAGAGCAGTCAGCCAGGTCTGACTGCTCACGTAGGTTCCTAGCCCAAATGCAGGACCTCCATCTAACCCAGGAGGTGCACAGCCCCACCAGGGGAGACGCCTTGTTGGAACTGGTGCTGGCCACGGGTGACAACCTTGTAAGGGGGCTGCGGGTGCTCAACCACCTGGGCGACAGCAATCATCGCCTGCTGGAATTCACCATCCAGCGCAAGGTGGCAAAGGCCTACAGCAAGGCAGCAGCCCTAGATTTCAGGAGGGTGGACTTCAATGAACTAAGGAGAATAGTCGGGGAAGCACTGAGGTCCCTGAGGGGAGGGGAGCCAGGTGTCCAAGAAGAGTGGTCGCTCCTTAAGGAGACGATCCTCCAAGCCCAAAGGGAGGTAATCCCAACACAGATCAAAGGGAGCAGGAGGGCACAAAAGCCCCCATGGCTCACCAAAAGCATCCGGGAATGTCTCCTAGCTAAAAGGGAGG